CACCATTCGAGGATTGGATTGGAAGAAAAAATTGCATTAAATAGTTTCAAGTAGTTTTCATGTGTAATGTTGATCTATTATGGTATTTTTTCTTTTGATTTCAATAATACATTGTTATCAAAGGAAAAGCAAGCATTAAAAGAATTGATTAGGAAAATGAGAAATTGTCATAATCAAATAAGAGATAGTAATAAGTAAAAGATTCAATCAAATTATTTCTTTAACAATTTATTCAACAATGACACCCCTAGTTGCCATCTTGGTCAATTATGCATTGTCACTACCTTATTTGAACTTTTCAATAATCCTTATCTTGTATTCAAAAGTATAAAAATCATGGATGGATGGCTATTAGGGGCAAAATGGGCCTTGGCCCCTTAAAAATTTTAGAAACCCTTAAAGTATACATATATAAATTTAAATTAATTTAAATTAATTCTTCAAAATTAAAATGATTAATTTTTATGGTTTTATATTTAATTATGTACATTAATTTTATAGGGATTAAAATCATATTGTTTTTTTTTTGTCTATTTGTTGTACCCAACAATAATTACTTATAAACCCTTAAAATTAAGAGGTCTATTTTAAGTTTTAAACTATAATCACGTGAAATTAATAAAAATCAAATTAACTTTTTAGTTTTTTAAACAAGACCCCAATTCTCCAATTAAATTTTAAACATAAATATGTTTTTCCTTTTCTTCTTTTTAGCGTACTATAATTTTTTCTTTTCATGTAATATTTTCACTTTTAGTTTTACTCTAAATCTCTATCTCATCTTATAATCTTTAAAAAAAAAAATTGGAACCACTTTATAAAATGTTAAAAAAAAAACTATAACTTCTAATCTCAAAGGTAAATTTTATTATTTTAAAAGTATATTTATTTTCTTACTTCAATAAAAAAAAATATGTTTTTTAGCTATTAGTTTGTTTATACTTTTTTATTTCAATTTTAAATTACCAAAAGAACAAAAAAATAAAAAAAAAATCAAGAAAGCTTGAGTATTTGAAGGTCTTTTTTTTTTTTTAAGTTTAATGTTGTGATAGTAATATTTTTATAATTTTATGAATATATTATTTTTATTATATATTGTTTATATATATATATATATATATATATATACACATACATATATATATATATATTTGAGGAGAGATTTGTTTTATATCGGTGCAAAACAAATTGTTTTTACTCTTTTTATAATCTTATGTAGAATTAATATTTTTACAAACCAAAGTTTATATTTAACAGCTTATTCATATCCGTTATATCTGTAAAATTTCAAGTCAATATGATACCTTATACTTTTGATTTTTATATATGATAGAATTCATAAAATAAGTGTTATAGAAAAAAAGATATAATATTAATTGGCCTCTCCAAAATTAAATGTCAAGATCTGGCACTAACAATAAAATTATTGTGTTGAAAGGTATGTTGGATTACCATGCAAAAAAAGTTTGACCCTATTTCTGATATGAATAAATTTTTTTGATTTTGTGAAGAAATTGATTCACACTGATGTTACCAAAACACAGTTGATAGATAAAATTAAGAGATCAAGGAAAAAGTTTGAAAATAATGTTAAAGGTAAAAAGGGGAGGACTAGACTTTCTCTAAGACCCATGAGCAGAAAGCTTTTGAGTTGTCAAAAAAGATATGGAGTCAAGATGAAATTAGTGGAAAAAGTTAAGTCCTCTACTGCTAAGCTAAATGTGAAAGTAAAAGGAAATACCAAGACACTAAAAATAGAGTTGCTTTTTTCACTTGAAAAGAAAGTTGATGGTATGAAGCCAATAGACGTGGATAAGTTGGAGTCTAAGAGTTTGGATAGTTTATTTGATAAGAGGTTTGGTATGGCTAGCAAACAAGAGAAAGTTCTAAAGCATGGATTGGAAATAATTAAAGGAGAAAAGAGGGCAGCTTCGTATGCAAAATGAAGGAATTTGTGAATTTTTTAGTTGAAACTCTTGTTGCTGAGTTGGTTAAGGAGAAAGACAAGTTAATGTTAGAGTTTTTGAGTCAAAAGACAAATAGGATGCTAGTATAAGTAATGATATTTATATGTGCATTTTAAAGAAATGTAATTTTATGGTTATTTGGTATTTTGTCCTTATGTTTGCCAATTGAAAGGTATCAATAGTACTTACTTTTAGTAACTTGGATTATATTAATATCTTGCATAAAAATTAACTTTTGAAGTTATTTTTGTCTTTTTAACTACTTGTATGCTTAAATAGCTTGCTAATCAACATAATTGTGATGCTTGGATTTGCTTGATGTTTGGATTAGAGGTCATCTTAGATGTTTTCCCTTTATGAATTCCTTGACTGCATCTTATAATGTTAATTTTTTTTTTTTTTTTTTATGTTGCTACCTTGTTCGCTAGTAGTTAGTGCAAAAGCAAATTAGAGAGAAAATATCACTGGTAGTGAAATCTTAGTGCAAAAAGAATTATTGAACCTTTTATTGCTTCAAATAAGATTTTTTTTTAAATATTGTGAACATGTTAAAGCATTTTGCTATGTCTTGCCCAAGCTTATGTTGCTAAAGTTGCAATTTAAAATATCTCCTACTTTTTGTCATTAATTCCTGTGATACTTGATAAACATTATATTTCAAGTGGAAGCTTTTAAATGTCTAGACATATTTAGTTTGCTTTTTCAATGGTTGTTCGTTTTTTATATAAGAATATAAATATGTGAGTTAACAACTTTGGAGGGAGAGTAAGGGTGATAATTGTTGGAAACATCTTATATAAATATATAAAAATCAAAACTTATGAAAAAAAAAAAAAAGGGTGATTGTCATATATGGATAGTCTTAGTTTTTAACATGTGAATAGCCTTATATATCGCCATGTATCATTACTAAATATCTTTAATTTGATTTAGGCTTTGTTTAATAACCATGAAAATGATTTTTGGAAATCATTTTCTTTACTTTTCAATAATTGGAAGGAGGAAAATAGGGAGGTCAATAGAAAATCATTTCGGGTTCAATGAAAAAATGAATGGAAAAAGTAAAAATTGTCTTCCATTCTTTTTGGGTGGAAGACAATTTTCTTAAAGACCAAAACTCTTCCCTAAAACTCATCAAACCCATAACAACTCCAAACTCAACATCCCTAAGACTTACCCAACTACAATAGCCACCAATGAAACAACCGACAACAATCACTGTCTCTCCCACACCTTTTTCCTTCAACCATCAAAACACTTTTGTAAGTTTTTCTTTGTAGCTACCAAGAATGCTTAGAAGCTCTAATAAAGACTTCTTTCATAGGTTTTCTTTTTGCAAATCAAACTAAAAATGTTGGAAAAGGCAGATTAGAAAAGAGGTATTATATGATTTTGAATACCCACCCATAAAAGACTTCTCCACAAGCTTAAGTTAATCCACATGATTTTGAAAATTAATGGCATTACATGAATACCCATGGCTTTGTGCTTTTTTCTAGAGAGTTTTAGATGAGATATTTGGTTTTCTTTACCAAATTTCCTTTTTCCCTACCCGTTAGATTCTTTTTAGCACATTTCCACCTCGAAACATCATTGCTTGAATATCATTGCTCTAAATTTTCAGTAGGAGTTGGAGTTTTGTGGTGTTTTTGGTATGTGAGAGAAAGAGGTAATAATAAGATAAAAGCTAAAGAAAAGAATAAGAAAAGAAGAAAATATTGAGTATTTTTCGACTGATACAAAATATTAGAAATTGATTTTTTTTAAAACAATTATCCAAACAATAGAAAATTATTTCTTTTTGGAAAGAATCTTTGAAGAAAATTTTTTATTTTTCACAAGTTGATTTCGGTTTATCGAACCAAGCCTTAATTATTATATTACTACTTATATCCCAAATTAATTGAGATTATAAAATATATATATATATATAATATCAATTGATCCTTCATAAATTAAATGTTATGATCTGTCACTGATAAAAATAAATGAAATCGAAATTTAACTTAATTAATTTATTCAATTATTTTAATTGATGGTATTAAACAAATCTGAATTCAAATTTTAATACCTATAATGTGATTTTTTTTTGTAACTGAATTTTAATACTTAATTAACTTAAAAAAAAGGAATGCTGCCAAATGCAAATGATCACTCAAAAATGATAATAAGAATGGCTTAAATTCTTCTCTAAAAATGTGCCAATCCACCATTCGTAGAAGTTTTAATGGTGAACGTGCAAAAGAGTGTATTGCATTAAAGGCTATGCGAATGATGATAGTAACTAAACCCTTTAGGAAAATGCCTATGGTACTCAAATTTTTTTTCCATTTCTAGATGTATTTTAGACTTGTAGTAATTGATATACATCGGGACTTTAGGCATTAATCAAAATCTGAAAAAAGAAAAAAAAAAGATTATTTATGCATCTGATGCATTTAATTTTCAAGCTAAGATTGTGTAATTATTTCAACATGAACACACAGAAAAGAAAGCATTCAAGTTGAAGCAAGGGATGACAGCAATTCATCTATTGAAGTCTTGTAAAGTAGTGACAAGAACAAGTTAACTATATATGAAGAACAAATATAAGTAGATTCAAATTGGTAACATAAAAACTATTTCATGGACTGACTTGAAGCTAAACCATCAGAGCTTGAATTGAACCCAACCAAACAGCTTTGCCTCCTCATAATTTCGTTGTTGCCTGCCAGCACCTGAGCCTTCTCCAGCATATCCTCCAATAATCCACTCCCACTAATAGGCATACTCATTGTGCTGGTTGTTATTTTGATCAAGTGTAACCTCTGAACTCCCATCTTGGGACAACAATTGGTTTGAAGGGAGCTCCGTTTTCAATGGATAAACAAATGTAAGAGTTGGTAATTTGGTATAAATTGACCTGAAGCGAAATGGGGACGAAGGATCCTTGAGGATGAAGCAAGATCAAGTGTTATTTATCATTTATGGACGTTGATAAGATCCTTCCATTTCATTTACCAGCAACTTGGGAAGGCATCGCCTTAAAATAAGTTAAGTGCGAGGTTCAAACGAGAAAAGGCTTACGGTGGGTACGTAGGCACCCAGAGACGAGGAAGGGCGTAGTAAGCGACGAAATGCTTCGGGGAGTTGAAAATAAGCGTAGATCCGGAGATTCCCGAATAGGTCAACCTTTCGAACTGCTGCTGAATCCATGGGCAGACAAGAGACAACCTGGCGAACTGAAACATCTTAGTAGCCGGAGGAAAAGAAAGCAAAAGCGATTCCCGTAGTAGCGGCGAGCGAAATGGGAGCAGCCTAAACCGTGAAAACGGGGTTGTGGGAGAGCAATAAAAGCGTCGTGCTGCTTAGCGAAGTAGTGAAGTGCCAAACTCTAGATGACGCCAGCCCATAGTGGAAAGCATCACTAGCTTACGCTCTGACCCGAGTAGCATGGGGCACGTGGAATCCCGTGTGAATCAGCAAGGACCACCTTGCAAGGCTAAATACTCCTGGGTGACCGATAGCGAAGTAGTACCGTGAGGGAAGGGTGAAAAGAACCCCCGTCGGGGAGTGAAATAGAACATGAAACCGTAAGCTCCCAAGCAACGGGAGGAGCCCAGTTGCGCTTGTCCAGTCTAATAAATATAAGTATTTTAAATGTTTGTCAAGTCAATTAATATTTGATTAGTTTCAGAGGTGCTAATTGCAAGGGTTGTTAGTCTTCGCTGAGCCATCATTTTGTTGGCATATGGATATATTGGCAGCAATTAAATTCAGCCAGTGAAATACAACATAGAAAATTCCCAACTTCTTTCTCTCAATTCTTCTTCTCCTTTCTCTTATTAAGTTGTAAAGGTACTCTGTTGCATCTTCTTCATCTTCACATTTAGCCCATATCAATCTTCTAGGCTCTTTTGAAGCCATCCTTAAGCAAGTTAACAATATAACGGCCAGGATCCTTCCAAGCAAAAATGCTTGCAGGAAGTACAGAGAGCAAGAAAAATCAAAAACCAAACAGCAAACCGCAATGCATTACATGTTAAAGCTGCCATTGATTGAAACTGGAATCATCCACTTTCAATGTTACAGCTTCTGCCTAACCTACGACTACAACCTAACTACAGATAAAGCAGCGCCAGATTTAATTTGACTATCAGAAATGTCACTGAAACAAACCAATTACAATGTATTGGCACTCCTCCCTTCTCATCAAGAATCACTTTGCTGTTGTTGAGATTACTGTTGCTGTGGCTGACGCTGAGGCCATGGCATGAAGGCCATGGGCGGTCGAGGCTGCTGGCCTGGATACAATGCAGCTTGATCAACTGGCTTTCCCATTATCATCCCAGTGGGTCCCACAGTATGCTGTGGGACGTAGTAATACGGAATATCAGCAGGTGAACCAACTAAAGGGTTAGCGGCCTTAGTAACCCCAAGTCCCTCCTCTTTCAACTCATCCCTTGGAATAATATCAACTAAGAAATCAAAAACGTCAGTCCTTGAAATGGCCGCTGCAATATCATTCTTCTGTAGTGTCCTCCTTTTGTTCTCTTCTGTATGGATCCAAGACCGTAGAGTCAGTTCCAAGATGAACATTTCACAAGCCTTTGCAAAAACAACAGGAGCCTCTGCTGATATCATCCTCACATCTTCATCCGCTTTCATTATCTTTTTGATACGGGCAAGTGGGAGACTGTGATTCTTGAAGTCTGCCATTTGCTCAATTTCTTGCATTTGGTTGGCCCAGAACATTTGAAGCTGCTGTTGTTGTTGCTGCTGCTGTTGGTGGTGGAAGTGCTGGGCTTGTTGGTAGGCAAGTTGGCGTGGAGAACTAGAGAAAGCTGCCGGAGGCTGAGTGGGTGAAGGGACTGCTACTGCTGGAGTGCCAGCAGCAAACAGTGGAGCAGTTTGATAAGGACTAGAAGAATAGCCCATCTCGCCTGCACCAGGTACAACTCCCATCACAGGCTGTTGTTGCTGCTGCTGCTGCTGCTGCTTTTGTGTTTGTTCTGATTGATCCATAGTAATTTTCCAGAAGCTCCCTTTGCCCTTGTTCTATCTTCTCATCACCACACTGTTACAAATAAAGATAACAAAGTATATATCAAGCTGATAATAATGGACTGTTCCTAACATATATACTTCAGACCACAATTTTTAAGATTCTATACTAGTAAGTACATAACTTGGGTGAAGAACAGCACAAATCACATCTCTTTTATAGTTTTACCACTCCCATGACAAGAAGCATTGCTTCCTGATTATACCCAGGGCCATAAGTATGTCAAAATCTACAATAAATTTAAAGGGCATTAAGATCAAATGAAAAAAATGAAGCCTAAATCTCTAAGTTGACATATCATAAAAAGATGAAACTGATTCTACTCTCATAGGTTTAAAAAATGAGGAGCTTTTCTATAAGAAAACAGAAACTTTAGACATGAGGAAATACTGTCCATACTTTTTGAACACCCAATAAATTATAACAAAATCTCTACATGTGGATGTACATCCATCATAAAATAGGCATACTGACTCGCTGCGAATGCATAAATTAATGTGTTCCAGTGTTCTATTCCTATCTTTCAAGCCTCAGTCATATCAAAATAATTGAAACTTTCAATAGAGAGGAACTACTGAACAGGAGTAACTCAAAACATATTATGTTAAGTTGAACTTCAACTGTATCTCTGCTTAACCAGCAAGGAACTCCACCTCCATCTCCTCCACTCAACCTTGCCGCGTGCCTTTTCCTTTTATCTAGTTCAGCTTTTACATATAACACACAACTAGGTTATAACTCGTGTAATGCACGAAATAATTTTATTTATTTAATATGAATATATAATTTCTTTTCAAAATTATATTCAAATATTTAAAACTCATAACATATATAAAGTTTATATATATGACTTGTCATTAAAAAATAAAATTTTTGAAAATAGTAAAAAAAAATTGTCTCTCTTTTGGATATTTTTGTTTACAATAATATTTATACACTTATAAAATTATATAAAATAAAAATAAATTATCTTTTTTAAAAAATAAAAAAATATATTATTGAATGTTAAATTAAATAATAAAAGAAGTATTAACACATTTTTACTTTAGTAATCTTGACTAAATTATTATACAAAATATGAAAAACGTTAAAAAATATGTGAAAAAAATAAGTTGAAAAAAATATTATTTTTCATAAGAATGAAACTATAATAATAATAAAATATATTTTAGAAAAAATTTATAAACAAAAAAAAAATTACAATAGTAATACAATATATTTTAAAAAAATGTTACTGAAAAAATAAAAAATTGATGTATAACACATTACATTTGTAGTCTTAAATTTGCAAAAGAACTCTGTAATGGCAATTAGAAATAAATAGATAACTTTTAAATTAATTTTTTAAAATTTAAAATGGATATAATAAGTGATAAAGATAATATTATATTTTTTGCATTTATTTGAAAAATAAATTGATAATTAGAGTTCAAATGGATATAATCATTTTAATAATCTTATTATTTAAAGATTTAAAATGAAAATTTTTTGAAATTTCAAAATCTTACATAAAATTGCTTGAATTTTTTATATCTTACATAAATTTTTTAAAAAGATAATTTTGCAAATTAAGATAAAAAAGATTATTGAAAGATTTTAATAAACTTAATCTTTGTAAATTTTAAACATGTTTCAAAGATTTTGATAATTAAATAATTTTTTAAATAAGATTATTTGGTAAACAACTAAAATTATTTATTAAAAAATAAAATCCATATTTCATATATTTAATTTTAGAATATATATTTCTAAATTGATTTGATCTTTAATTATAATTTGAATAATTTTGATATTTGAATAAATTTAAAATTATCTAATTTGTAATTAAAAAAATTATCTTTTTTTCTAAAAAAACTATCTTATGTGTCATTTAAGAAAGTTGTCCACATAGGCACCTATGTGGCAAACTTATTTGTGTATAATATATATATATATATATATATATATATATATATATATTAGATTAGGCATAAAAAATCAACTGAATAGGGTGGTTCAGAAGAAGAAACAATCTCTGCTGGTTAAGTGGTTGTCACTAATACTAAAGTCTTTCTATGTAAAACACTGAAACAGATATGTTATTAGTATATGTGAAAATCAGAACATAAAAACTATTCTCTTTTATTCAGATGTTTTATGTAGATTATTTAGCTAACTAATTCACAATCACAAGTATTTCTACTGAAATTTTAAGAGAAAAGGCAAAATGTTTATCATATCATTTTTCCACCAGTAACTGACTATTACATCCAAGCAGTCGTGTGAATTTTTAGCTCTAACACAAAAAAAAAAAAACCAAAGGCAACAGACATTCATCAGAACCTTATGACAATAAGATGTCTCTCACCACCTGAGAATAGGAATATTTGCAAGCCATTGAAACAGGCATCTTTTTAACAAATGTCACTAGCTTGACCTGAAACTTCCTTTCTCTGATTCTTTCTAATGTTTTACATAGATTATTTAACTACCTTACTCACAATCACATACCAACCAACTAAAAACCATACAAAAAACACAAAATTTTTAGAGCGCTGATAATGTGATACCACTAGTTGTTGACAATTATATTCAATGCAATCTCCTAATCCTAGCTCTAGCTAGCCTCAGACAAGAAATTAGTTAGAACTCCATGATAAATGAAGATTTCTCTTTAGACATCTAGAAATATACACTCATAGCAGCAACTAAATGCCATCTTACAACAAATCCCTCTGTTGACAAGTTGAAGTCACCAAAAAAAAATTCTAAACCCACAGAGAAAGTAATTTTGAATAAAATGTTAACGAACAGCTAAAAAACTAAGCTCAATAATTTTTCACATTAACGTTGCAAAAGCAACTAGAATTCAAGCAATAATATGCAACAATTTTTTTTAATAAACAGCTCTCCCTCGATTCATGCTACATAAGATCATTTATTTGTGTCCTTGAATGTATGTAAGCATATCTAAAGTGGAAAATTCAAAAACATTTTCAATTTGAGGAACCAAACCCCTTGAATTTTAACAACAAAAGAATTTATTATAGCTACACTTGGAAAAAAAAAAGAAAAGAGATCATATTCCTTTTTTCTTCAATATCTTTGGCCCACCTCACCACTCCCCTTTTCCTATCGTGAGCGTAAAGAACAGAGGAAGACAGCAATTAAGATATGATTAACCAATTTCGGAATTCACTTTGACTTTGAACAATTTGATTCTATTACTGAATTAAAAAAGGATAAGAAAATACAGATAATCAACCACTTCAACCTATACACATAATTGATGATTAAACAAATAATAAAAGTCCTTTTTTCTTGCCTAAAATAACACTGAATTTTAAGAAAGATAAACATGCATGCAATGCAAAAGGAAATAAACTTCTGACCCATTCATTCAAATAATAACCCTAACTGCTCTGCTTGCTTCCTAAGATTAACTAAGAACTGATAACAAAACCTCTTTTTTTTGGGGGGAAAAAAACAGTTTTTAGAACAATAATTACTCAAATTTTGAACTTTTTTCTTTTATTATTTTAGCACAAGATTAGTGGTCACAGAGGTAAAACAATACAAAAGATAAATAAAAAAAAAAAAGAAAATCTTTTTGTTTAGTATTTGGTTCTTTCCCACCAACCAAACAAGAGAGTAGCAACCTCAGAAAACCCAAAAATAAACCCAAAAATTAAAAATTATATAAATTTACCGATAATTTCTCCTTTCTGCAGCTGAATCCTCTCAGAAACCAAAAAAAAAAAGAATAAGGGTAACGCAGAGAGAGTTAAAAGGAGGGACTTAGATAGGTTTTGAAAGTAAATAAACAAAAGAAAAAGGAAGTGCTTTAATTTTGAAAGAGAAAGAGACTTCTGGGGGTATCTAAGAGAAGGACACGTGTCGATCAGTGAGAATCCTTACTCTGGACAGAGGTTTTTTCCAATACCACGTGGCTAATCAACTGGTTGAAAGGTCAGAGGAGTAGGCTCATGTATACCACCGGCGGTGAATGATAGCAAATGTTGGCTGTGGAGGGCTGTTTTGGTGAAAAAGAGTCAAGTTCAAGGGTATTTTAAGATAGTTCTGTAAAAGTATATGGAGCACGTGGAAAGCATGTGGTCGTGCGATAAAGATCAAAGATGCGAAGTTAGAGAGATGAGGTCACGTGAGGAAAAGCGGACGTAACGTTGATTCATTTGTTACGTAGAAAATAACTTTTAAAAAATAATTTTTATATTTTTAAGTGTTTATTTGATAAAAAATTAATTATTTAATAAAAATAATTTATTAGTCAACAAAAAATGAGATAATTTTTTAAAAAATTATCTTACTCTTTTTAAAATAGAAAGATAATTTTTGAAAAAAATTGTTTATGAATAAATTATTTATCAATGTGTTTAAGTATAATTTTATTCAAATAAAATATTATATATAATTTTTTAAACTCAAATTTAATTTGATTTGATTTAAAATATTATTATATTAATAATAATATTTTTATTTAATTTTACTTAAAAAATTAAAATATTAATATTAAAAGTCTTTTAATATTTTAATTTTAAATACTTTTATAGTTATCTTAAGTAAGACTTTAAACATAATATTTTAAGCTCAAATTTGATTTAATTCGACTTAAAATATTATTATATTAATAAAAAATATTTTATTTAATTTTAATTAAAAATTAAAATATTAGCATTGAAAGTCTTTTGATAATTTAATTTTAAATATTTTTATTTTGTATATTATTAAACATAAATATTTTTAATATTTCAATAATAAATAGTATTTTATTATTTCAATAATAAATAATAAATGTTTTATTAGTTTAATAATTAATGTTAAATAATATAATAATATTATTTTCTTAATATGAATATTTTAAATAATTTCTTATTATTTTTAGTTTAAAATAATAATTTTATAATTTATTTCTTATGTTATTTATATTACTATTTTAATAATAAATATAAATAAAAAGAATTTTGTTTTGATTTAATAATAAATACTTTCAATATAAATTTAAATATTTTAATAGTATAAATATTTTAATAATAAATATTACTATTGTAATATTAATAAAAATAATATTTTAAGAATAGTAATACTATTTTAAATATTCTAAAATATTAATATAAAGAATAATAAATAATTTTATTTTAAGCATTTTATATTAATGTAATATTTTAATATTAAATATTGTTATTAAATTATAATTATTCTTGAGTATTAATAATTTTAATAATAAAGAATTTTAATATACTTTAATAGTAAATAAAAATTTAATATGTTAATAATTATATTAATATTGTTTGAAAAAAGAAACAAAACTTTTTGAAAAATAATTGAATAACAAAAAATATATTTTATTAACTCATCCAAATAACAAAAAAAATTTAAGAAAGAGCCACAAATGTAAAGAAAATTGTTTGGTTACGAAAGGAAACATACTTTTTTGGGCCCATGAAAGTAACGTGACATAAAACTTGTTTCACTTGGTTTGTTTTTCTATACATTGGCTTGGTATTTGAAAAAAAAATTAATAGCATTTGTACTTCTAAAATTTTGACTCAAATTTTATTTTTATTTTTATTTTTAGAAAATTTTAATTGAATCTTTAATTATTTAAAGTTGTTTTTTTGGTCATTTCATCTATAAAATCATATAAATTGATGATAAATGCTAATTAATCCCATTTGATGATGCCAACTAGCACTCATATGATAAAAAGGATTAAAATAAAATTTTTTCAAAGTTTAAAGACAATTATGAAATTATCTAAAAATTTTATATATTTCTTACATATCTTATAAAATATTAAATTTAAAATTATATTTTTATATTTTTATTGTAATATAACTTATTAGTTAGATTGTTTGTTTTAAATAAAAAATAGAAATTCAAAACTTAAAATTAACCTAAAATTTTAAATTAAAAAAAATTCAATACAATTTAAAAATAAAAAATTTTATTTTTATAAAAAATATTATTTTACTCATAAGTCATAAAAAAATATTATTTTCTATTCAAAAAATTATTTTTTAAAAATATTAGATATCTTTTATTTTTTAAAATATATTTTATAAAAAGAAAAAGTAAAAATGTTTTAAATTATATTTTATTTTATTATGAATATAAAAGTTTTAACAAAAAATATATTCAAATTAGAATTTTTGAATAGATTAATAAATCTATTTTTTAAATGATATGGAAGTTTTTACATCATATTTTAAAATGATATGTAGTTTTTATTTAATTTTTTAACCGATATAGAAATTTTTATCTAATTTTTCAAAATAATATTTAATTTTAAAAAATTGTTTTGAAACTCTTAACTTAGTTTTAATTTTTTAAAATATATATTTTCTATTAAAAATATTATTTTATTAATAAATCTTATCATAATAAAAATTAAAAATATTTTAAATTATAATATTTTATAAAATATATTTGAAATATATCGAAATCAATTTTTCTTTAATTATTGTTATTTTTTCCTTTTTTATTTTTTAAATATATATTTGAAAAAGAAAAATAAAAGATATTCGATATTTTAAAAAATATATATTTTTTGGATAGAAAATATTTTTTTATTATAAGTTATAAGTAAAATATTTTTTTATAGAAAATAAATTCTTTGTTTTTAAAAGGATATTTAATTTTTTAAAAATCTATTTTCTATTAAAAACATAAAATATAACTAATAAATTATATTATAAGAAAATTATATAATTTTAAATTTAATATTTTTTAAAATATATATGAAATATATAAAATTTTGAGATGCTTTCATATTTAGTCGCTAAACTTTGAGAAAATTTTATTTTAATTTCTTCTTTGTCACGTGAGATATTAGCTGACATCATCACGAGACATCAACTGACATTTACAGACAATTTATATGTTTCTCTAAACAGAAAGATCAAAATAAAATAATAAGACAACTTAAGGTAAATAGAAATCCGATTAGAACTTCTTTAAAATTAGAGATTAAAATAGAATTTAGATAAAAGTTTAAGAACTACGAATGTTATTAATAAATAAAAAAAAACTTACTTTGTTTTTTTATTTTACATTTATGGGAAATTATAAAATAGGGCAACTGAGTTAATAATTAGTTTGACTATTGAAGCAATAGATACTCATTAGGAAGGAAATGTTAGTTTTGAAAATTGTTAACAAAGAATTCATAATTATACTTTTCTTTCGAAAAAAAAAAATCAACAGATAAAAATCTACGGAAAGGATGAATAAGGCGTTGTGATTCTTGTGAATGCCAAGTAAGGCAATCCAGTCAGAGTAATTAGTTAGACAATTGTAGGAATAGATGTGGAAAATTTTTATACAATATGTTCTATTTTTTTGTAATCAAAAGTTAAATACAACCATATTTCAAACACTTCTAGGAAAAATTGCTTATCACAGTAAATTGAATAACAAAGGTATTTACATTCAAACGCTTCAAAATCATAATCTTTTGGAAAATATATATCCAGAATATTTTTAACCTTTTCGAACATGTATATCCAAAAAAAGTTGAAAACTTTCAAAAACTACAAATCAAATAAATTAAAGGTCAAATTATGCAATAAATCCTTCTATTCAAATGATATTTGAGGTTTAGTCCATCTAATATAATTTATAAAATGTAATATTCTTACTAAATTTATTTAATAATTTTAGTTCAATCATTAATTCTGTTAAAATTTTTTCGTTAAATTTGTTGACATTTACTTTGAATATGCTGGCATAACATTTTGATTGGTTGTTAATGAAGCTTACGATGATGTAGATTAAATGAAATGCCACTTGGCATATCAATAAGTAAACATGGCATTCAAAATTCAACAAAATTTTTTGTTCAAAAAATATAATTAAAAAGAAATACAATTGAACTAACCAAAACAAAATCCCTAACAAATCCAAATTCACGCCACCATAGAAGCCTAGATTATGACTATGGCCATCATATATCAGCATCAGAATGTCACCAAAATTTGCTTAGAAGCTCCCTTTAATTTTCTTTACAAATCTATTGCCTTAAAATGATATCTTATATAAATATATAAAAGTTTAAACTTTTAACAAAAAGGAAAAAATTTGATGTGGATTATCTATTCTTTTGACATGTTGATGGTTTTGAATAATCGCAATATGTCCTGCATGTTAGATTTTCTTTATTATATAAACTAAATCTTAATTTTGTATAATTTTAATGGCCAAGATCTTAGAACAAATTGATTTTCACAATTTTCTAACAAAAGAGAAATCATACTTTGATCCATTATAACTTTTTTTAATAAATTTCTTTTTTGTTTCTCTTTTTTAACCTTTTAATCTTTTACATACCTTCTTGATGATTTATAAACAGAGAGAGTGAAGTGATTTCATTCATTAATTCCATTCAATTCATATGTTCCATCACCGTATAAATTTTAAACAAAATTCTGCTTTTGTACATTAATTGCATTCATTTATTGTTTCATAAATGAAACAAAACCTTTTCATTTATTTATTGATCAAAAAGATTTTTTTAAACATAATAATATTAAACCATTAATGTCTTTTAAATAAAATTAAAAGATATTTACTTAATGATGGATAACATAATGTTACCTTTAATATCTAACATTCTCTCACTTGGCTTGTGTGGAGTTATTCAACTTTATGATTTAATAATAAAACATAATGCGCATAATATAAGCTAAATCCTTTCTTAAATCATAAATCATCATTGAGCAAAAATTGAAAAGGATCATAATGGTTGTATGTCATTAGCTTGACATAGTTCTTCTATGTCTCACATTATTAGTTGTATACTCAACATGACCTTTAATGAGAGATGTCATAATGTTCCAATAATGTCTTCGTT